CCCCGCGCCCGAGAGAGAGCTGCAGTGCTAGGCCGGCTGCGCCTGCGCCGCCTCCGGAGGCCCCTCCCCGCCCGCCCGCCCGCATCCTGATACCAAGAACAAAATCCCACTGGGAAGACCCAGGCCTCGACCCTGTTCTTCAAATGGCTTCTCTTCAAATTTTAATTAAATGATTTCCATTTGTATTTGTGTTGATGGCGGACCACTTGACCGTCACACTTAATTATTCATAGACTGTCATCTTTTAAAATGTCCTGACTTCAGCAGGTACACAATTGGCCATGGCCCTTGTCTGTGTGTAATTCAACATATTTTCCAAAACGTAGCTATTATTTGCTATGAGTTTTGCTTGGACTCCTGTACGAAGTGCATGTCTTAGAAGGCTGAGTACCCCCTTTCAGTTCTCTCCGCAGGATGGAGCTCTTTCTGACCATCTCCAGCAATGAATGGGCACATTTCATCAAGTTGCTTGTGATCTCCCTCACTTACTTCAATTCCTTATGTTTATTTCAGCAATTAAAATAATTGATTTTAATGATGACTTTTGAATTCTTAATTTCTTTACACTTCGGGGCTGTTGATGACCTTAAAAGTGGTAGCTATGATTCTGCAGATGCTACTTTAAATCAACTTCTATTAATTTGGTGAACATGAGAGAGGTTATGTAAGTAATTATTACCTCAGCTACCTTAGGATGCTGAAACAATGTCCAATTCTAAAATTTTCTCTAATCTACCTAGAGTAGTAGTTAACTCAGGTAACTACTGAGTAAGTAGGCAACGGAGAGCTGAAAAGGAAATAGCTAGAATATGGGAGAAGCAGAGTTCTACAACCCCTTCTGGTCTGCAAATTGCTCACACGTGAATGAAAAAAGCATATACTAATACAATCAGATTTCTGCACTAACGTTTACCTTCCACATCATATGTTTCTCTTTTCTTCTAAATGGGAACATACATTTGTTACTAAATAGCAGCGATACATCATATAGATAATTTTTTAAATATACACAGAATAGACCTACTAACTAAAAAAATCACAATTTAAATATATAGTAATATATATAAAACATACAACTGCCTATGTTATATATAAGTAATATATCACCCATGTAATATACATAATATAGATCTATATTGTTACTATGTTCATTGTTCATTTTTTAACTTACTATTAAATAGAAGTGGGTATATGTGAAATAAAGTCAACCTAAAAAATTCTATTCAAATTAATGGAGTAGGACAATCCGTACACCTACTGAAAATCAAGTTTGTTGAGGTCCGCATAATCTCTGAGGCTTGGGATCTTAGGAGCAGTAGGTATGGGGGCTGTAAATTTGAACCAGAGAAGACAAATGTGGATAAAGGAGCCCTGCCAGTAGAAGAGTTGGCATTCTCCCTAATTTATCCTTCCAGCCTGGTGGTTGAAGCCAAACCCCGTCCAGCTGGCTTGTAGCTGTGTTGCTCTCCCACTGCGTGGTGTGTCCTTGGTCTCTCTATGCCCAGTCTGCAGTTGCCTGGTCACCTTTTGTAAACTCACTGCCACCTTCTCTTTGACTACATTCAGCACACTGCGTGGATTTGGAAGATGCAGTTACGGTGCCATAAACAAATATCTTCCTTCACCAACCTATTTCTGTCTCAGCCTTACAATCTGAAAACACAATATTAACATTAGTAGAAAATAATCAAGAAAATTAGCGTTAATGCCTCAAAACTAAAGTAAAATATATTTTAGCTGTTTATTTTAAGCTATTCTTCAAAAATTGTCATCAGTTTTGTAAAAACTACATTCATGTCACCTGTATTGAGAAGTTTTTTAATTACTCCCTCTGATCTGGAAGTAATGTAATGGCCATGGTGTGAGTAATCTTGTTTTCATTTTGTCGTGAATGTGCGTGATAAGCCATATCACTCAATTGAAATAATTAAATCAGTTGCTGTAGGTGGGAGTCTGAGCCTAGAGGTCTCATCTCCTCGCTGCCTAATCACTCAGGAGCTGCCCGTGTCTCCCTGATTTTGCACGTGCAAGCGTATCCCAACTTGACTGGCTGCTGAGTTGCCCTATTATGTCCAGCTGGGCCCAGTTCACAGGTGGTAGTTTCAAGTGTTCCCCAACTTCTAAATGGTATTTGCACACAATGGACATAACCTTCTGCTAACAAAGCAAAGTGACTTCAGGTCAGGTCAGCATCATGTATACGAAATGATACCACAACACGTATGATACTGACAATGCACCTCAATAATCGAAAATTCCAGTGTGAATTGTGATTACAAAATAAGCTGATTAAGAAAATAAGCTATTCTGTAATATAATGATTTACCACCTTTTAAATACTGTTGCTTTAATGCAAGATACTTAGATTTATGCTGCAACTGTATCCTAAACTCATCTCTCACAGACTATGACTATTGGAAGGTCATGTCAGCAAAGCAATCTGCATCTTTCCCTAAATTACACATTTCCTCATAAGTCTGCTCTTGAACCAATGAAAACAATCTGTGTACTTTACTATGGTCCATCATGACAAGCCACGCCACTCACAGTGGCCTACGTGAAGAGAACACTGGGTATCTAAGTGGCTCTTCTGCCAGGGTTCCGGAATTACCTGTCAACTTGAAAGTTGTTGAACTTCACTAGAAAATACTGCATACGGTGATTTAACCCCAACCCTCTCTTCTCACTTATTTTCAAATTGGAGTCTGGCTGTGTGCGATAAAGGAAGATGGTGATAAGGTTAAAAAGTGTTTTAAATACGAAATATGAAGGAATTTCTTCAAACCTGTTGTTCACATATAATTTCAAACTATAATATTTGGCAAAATCTTGTGATTATTTCTGATAATCTTTATTTAAAAATGGTAAGATTTTTATTCTACATTTCTACTTAGCTTTCAGTTTACACCATAGAGTATATACCAGGGCAAAACAGAACTAACATAATCCTACATCTCCCACATAAATCATCCCCAATTTCACTTTGAATATTAAATTACTTAAATAAAAATGCCAGCTACAGATGATGCTCTTCCCGAAGGCATTTCGTCAGTCATTTATCCCAGAGCAGCTATTACAAGGCTTTGAGCTGCACAAATTGGACATTCTGTTAGAATCAATATTTTTCAAATACAAGGGCACCGAGAATTATGTAACAGTTAGGGAAATGGCAGTCCACACATAAGGGGAAAAAAGGAATTATTCTGAAGATGGAACTGCTACCCCCAACCCTAGTCTGCCCCAGGGACGGGCAGAACTGGCTGGAGGTGCCCCTTGCAGCCCTGCCCTTCCACCCACTCCTCCTGGCAAGAGGGATGGTCTCTTCCTCATTATAAAGAGGTATAACAAGGAATTTTTTGTTGAGTTCATTTTGGAGGAGGTCATCCAAGAGATGTGACCATCAGTTGACTAGACAGCTGGACCCAGGCAACTGGAAGCTCCTGACCCCATCACACCTTTGGGATGTATGTATGTTCCACCTACCATTCCTGCACTAGGAGCTGTTTCAAGGACACAGCATCGAAGAGTCACGTGTTGTTGAGACCATCTCGACGGTACGTGACTGAAACCAGTGGAGGCTTCTGCATAAAGATTCCAGCAGGCAGGTGCACAGATCTTGTCCTGAGGCCGCCCCAGACAAGCCCCGTATATAAGTTGCTTTGTTTATTAAACCTGCCACCTACCAATCAGGAGTGGCCTGCCTTTTCAGTCTCTCCTTGCCTTCCATGGAAGGAGCCAGTTTTCGAACCAATAGTTCAAGCTAAGAACAATTATTTACTCTGCAACATAGCTCTAGGGTTTGTTATTCAGAAGACCAATTCCAGACAAGTAGCACAGGCCTGCGACAAGGAAACCCATTTCTTTAAAGCGGTAGTGCTTAAATATTTGTAGACACTGGCTGGTGATTTCAGTCGCCATCTTCTTTTATTGATCTTCATCATTACCCTTATTTAAGGGTATTTTATTTATAGAACCATTACATTTTCTTTGTTTTTTAATGTATTACCTCAGTAAGGAAGGGGTAGGACCAAGTGTGAACCCTCACTTGGCAGGTAAGTGGGAAACTGAGATAATTGTGACCAGTATTAAGTTTGACCCAATAAAGATGTCCAAAGTCTGTGTGTGGATTTCTGAAGATTACAGCAGACAGACATCCCAAATAAAACTCCAGGGCCACAGAAAACCTTCTAGTTATAAATATCTGAACTTTATTTGGGGTTGTTTTGTGCACAGGTGTTCATGTCAGGAGGAAAAAACTCCCAAAACACTGATAGACGGAGTTCTGTTTCCTACAAACCACATCTCCAACAATAACCCAACTTTGCTGATTTTCAACCATTTACTGCTTTTCACACACTGTTGCTATGATGCAGCAGCATTTCAGAGCAGAGCAGCGTAGCTCTCCTCAATGCAGATCAGCTCTATGTGTGCTGCTTCTGAAGAGATCATGCACCTTGCTTCCGGCAGATTGAGTATCCATGGATACCGCATAGAGTTTCCAAAGAAACGCTGCCTAGAATTCTCACCAAGCCAGCCTAAAAGGCCTTCTTCAAATGGAAACCGACATTTGAATTAAAGGGACAGGCATCATGCTCCCACCAAACTACTGAGCAGGTTTGCATGGACAGCCTTCCTTTCCTCACCTTTCAATGGCTGTGCATCATTTAAAGACAAGCAGGCAGATTACTCATCCTGTGAAAGGGAAATGAGGGGAAGAAACTGGGTCTGATGTGTTCGCTGCATAAGGTCCGGTGATCCCAGCAATAACTTATTATATATTTCTCACGTGATGATAAATAATCTTATAATCAAGGTCTGAAGATTGAGCAGAGGAAGATAAGTGCCTTTTGAAACTGCATGCCCTAATTTATATCCTCATATGACAAAAAGGGTTGAGGAAAGGGCAGAGAGAGGCAGAATCAGTTAACTGGTTTACAAGTCTACAATTGGGCGCATGAAGCAGGTCACAGTGAAATTAAAAATCTGGCTGCAGAATTTGAATAAAGCAGCATTTCATCTGAAGGGAGAATGCATTATAATACTTTGTTTTTCCTGGATCCTTATCACTAAACCAGCTGAAGAATCTTCTTAAAAGCAATCATAGTTTAATTTCCTATTGTTCAATGAATATGGCCTTCAGGGATGTAGGTTATTAACTCAGAATGAGATGATATAAAATCTCCAATAAGAATTCCAAAGTTTAAGGTTTTTATAATTTATTTAGTTAGTTAATGAAAGCCACCCCCCACCCTCCACCCTGGTCTTCATCTATGGCATTTTTATGACCACATCCTGTTCTGTAGCTTCCTTTATTGCCCAAATTGTATCATGTTTCTTGCCAGAGTCCAGGCAACTGAAAATAAGCAGACTCACATCTGGGGAAATCAATAGACCAACAGCGGCAAAACACACCACCATGAAACAGATTGTTACAGGAATGCAGGACCCAAGAGGACATCTCAGGAGCGTGGCTCGCTGGCAGCAGCAGCTATGTTAGCATTTCTTTCCCCCTCAAGTTCAGAAACGAGCTGGACTATTTCCGGGTGACTGAATTTTCCTGCAAGGCGAGAAGACGGGGGACAAAATAATAAGAGAATACACCAGTTTCTCCAGGTTGGTCCTAGGGCTTTCCAGGGCCTCCACTCTGTGGTCTGACCCATACTTCACTCCAACACAGAAGAATACTATTCCAGGTCCTGGAGAGGAGCCACAGGGGAACACTTGGAGCTTATTCTTCATCACCTAAGATGCTACCGAGCAGAATGATGAGAATCACGCAAAGCTGGGGAATCCTCACCAGGCAGCCTCTGAATTCTTCTACCAGTAACTACAGGGAAACTCAGGGAGGACAGAGCTCAGAGAACTGAGAAAAACCTCTGTCCACTCTGAATCTGCAATTAATTTCAGGAAACAAAGCACCTACTAATAAAAAGATCAGTATGAAGACCAGGGGGTCTAGGTTCTCCCAGGATGCAAACAAGAATGTCTACACTGAAGCCAGCTGATCTGCACCGTCTTCCTGCTCCTCAGCCCTCCCTGGGCAGCATCCAAGCTCCAAGCTACCCTAGGTCGATGGTGGGTAGCACGGGGGACTGCTAAACCTACCATCTCTTCCCTGACTGTCTTTTCTTGCCAGTGCCTTTTGCTGCTTACTGTTCATCCCACATTTAACTCTACTCCATTTATTCCCTATCCTCAATCTCTTCTCAGAAGTTCCCTTTATCTTCTTGCCCTAACTGACACCTGGCTAGTCCTGAGGACACAGCGTTCCCCACAGCCCCTCACATACCGGCTGCCTTCTCTCTCACATGGCTCTTACCACCGGGCTGGGCCTGCCCTCCACGGTCTTTGTTGCTTCCAGGCTGTGCTCTGTAAAGGTCATGCTTCCACCAAAGTGCTCCACGTTGCTAAGTCTGATGGCTACTCCTGCCCTCTTGAAATACTTTCTTCCCTTGGCTTCTGGGACCCCTGATTTTCTTCCCCCAAACCTGTTCTTCCCCCATCTTTCCCGTCCAGTGGAAAGTCCAAAATCCTCAGACTCCTCTTGTGAACACCCCGCACACGAGTCCTGTTGACACTATCCTCAGAACAAACCCAGGATCTGACCACTTCTTACTTTTTCTACCATGACCACCCTGGTCCAAATCAGGATAAGAAATAGTACAGTTACACTGTCTACATTGATTTTTTTACCAGAAGAAGTGCACCAGGGTGGAAAGTGCGGTGACTTTTAACCTAGCAGGGAGGATCAGGAGAGGAAGCCAGAAAGCTGAGTAGCCTGACTGCAGAGCTTTTTACGCCACTTAAAAAGTGTCAAGATTTTATTTTAAGGAAGAGGAAAGCCACAAATGCTTTAAAAACAAAGATGTGATGACATGAATATCTACAAAGGAGGAAAACACTGAGACATACAGGACGAACTAGAGAGAGAGAGCCCGGCAGATTACAGGAGGTGGTTATAACAGCAGTCCAGCACAGAAACAGTGAGGGCCTTGTCTGGGGCAGAGGTAGAGGGGCTGGAAAGGAGAAGGAAAACTGAATCAACTTCATCACAACGCAGGTCATATCCTGGAGCACTTTCTGGAGCTGAGACTCTCCTCTACTTGGTCCTGAGAGGCCCCAGAAAGCCCATCTCTAAGAGGACTTTCAGGGGAGATGGAAGCTGCACTGGGCCTGAAGAACTCCCAGGGCAGAGAGACGGAGTTTTACTCCAGGGAGCAACGTGGGCACGGCCGTCACCAGTGCGGTGTACACCTGGCTCCTCACTCTCGAAACGGCACCAAAATAAAGGCAGCCAAGGCTTGCTGCCAAGTATTATTCTAAGCACTGCGCATATAACCTCAAATAACCCTATAAAGTAGATTCTGTAATTATGCTCATTTTAAAAATAAAAATAAGGAAACAAAGGCCTAGTTAAGTAATTAATTTACTGGAGGTTACTTAAATTATACGTGCCACAACTAGGTTTCAAGTCTAAGCAGTTTGACTTCAGGTCTGTGCTATGAAGGGCTATAATGACAACGGTGACTTCAGCTGTTTGGGGTTTTCTATTTTTAAATCTCTATTTCTACTTCTAACTTACATGAACTTACATATTTAAAAAGCACTTACAGATTAAAATGCACTTTCACATACATTAGCTCTTTTGAATCTAAAAACCAACCTAGGACTTAAGTATTATAACTTCCGTTTTTCAGAGAGGACCCAGAGAGGTCAGGAGATTGCCCGGGGGCACACAGCAACAGCTGGTATGTATGATGTGAACCTGGTGCTCAGACTCCTGGGCCACAATGCTCTGAAGCCCCAGGTTGCCTCAAACCATGAATTCCACCATTTTCTTTCTTTTTTTTTAAATTGTAGTCCTTTTTTTTTTAATTGGGGATAGGGGAATTAGGTTTGTTTGTTTGTTTGTTAATTTACTTAATGGAGATACTGGGAATTGAACCCAGGACCTTGTGTTTGCTAGGCATGCATTTCTACCACTGAGCTATACCTTTCCCCACAACCCCATTTTTCTTTTTAGATGCTCCATATGAAAGGGTCAGAAGAGGTTAACGACCGTGGATTTCACTAACGTAATATTAGTCATTACACGAGGAGTAACTAAGCCACACCGGAATGATGCTTATTGAAAACAGCACTGAGTACCTGCCGTGGAATCATAGAAGTCCTGCAGCCTCCCAGGTTTATTCTCAAGGTCTTCATACTCAGATGCCTGAAGAATCATCTCACACTGGTCCAGCTGCTTCACAAATTTGGCCTCTGCACTAGATTGGGTCTCATATTCCTAAGTCAAGGGACAATGAAAGCAGCATGATTAGGGCCGCATGATAGGTTATGCCAGGAAAATTCTGATTCTGGTACCTGAAATCAGAGTCACAGCTACAAGCACGTTCAGTACTGGCCACACTTCTCCACCGCACACATAGCCGTCACAGAGACGCCCCACCCGCATTTCCACAGTGTAACAGCAGCGCTCCGCGTAAGGCTGGGCTCGCATCCCACGCCTGTGGGAAGTCTCATTTGTTCATAGAGACACTTCCAAGAATTCTTCTTCCTGTTTAGTAACTTGTCTTCATTTCAAGATCATCATTCTTTAATCTACCTGAGGGGCGAGGGTCTTTTTAAACTTCAAGCTAATACTTCATCTTAGGCTTCTCAAATTATTTCCCTCTCCATTTTATGTCAGATTTCCTTTTCCTTTTTAAGTGAATTTCTAGCTTTCTCATTTAATTTTGGTTACCACTTTACACTGGGAATCTCTTGTCCTTGCTCCCCAAATAGGGAGAAGTTAATCTAGCCCCTCTGGGTTATGACTCTTGAGGATACAGCCACCATCGGAGAATTCTTCACACAGTGTACACGTGCACGTGCTGGTGGCAGGGAGCGGGTGGAGGCAGTGAACAGGGAGCAGCTTTTCTCCCTCTCCTCTTCCCAGTGGCCCCTCCCTCCTCAGTGCAGACCTGAAACTAGAAGCTACAGACAAACTGCTTCTTGGGGAGTGACACGTGTCACACAACCACAAGTCCCAATTAACACTACATGGAACCATTCTTCTATTAAGACCAAAGTGTTCCCAACCAATTTCCCTGCAAAGTTCTCATTTATAATTCCACCCCAGACGTGTTCAGATAATGAATCTGTCATTCTTCCTTGGCAGAGAGTGATGTGAAGGTTTCTTGGTTTTTATGAGATGCAGCTCGGGTTGGGGTTTTGCAGAGCAACAGAAGGATGAGGATTCAAGCAGGATAGAGATACAAGTTCTAGGTCCTGAAAATGGAGGACAGAGGGAAGAGAAAGAGAGGAAAGGAGAGGAAGATCAAAAGTTCCCTCCCTGACCCTAGGGGAAAGGCTGGCCCTGATTGTAGTGTTGATATACATGAAGTTTATCTCTTGCATCTTTCACTCTCCCACTTCCTGGTGATCTCCCTCTGGGACCCAGGACCCTCATGCTGCCATACACAACTTCCCCACCAAAATACTGCACTGTGCTTCAAAGGAGAGAAAAGGGAGACACTTTTTAAGGGGTACTTGTTAACCCAACTGTATCTTCAATTGCAGGATGAGAAACCACCCAGGGCAGGCGAGACGGGTGTGCCAGGCATCTGCCATGTGGCTGGGAGCTGCCCCTGCTATGCCTTGGGATTCAAAGGGGTATTTCATTAAGGCAAAATATAGGTGACAGAGGAGACATCTTTCTATGATACTTTGAGGAGAAAAAGTGAATGTCATTCTAAGTGAAGTAACCAGAAAGAGAAAGAAAAATACCATATGACATCACTTACATGTGGAATCTAAAAAAAAAAGAACATAAATACAAAACAGAAACAGACTCATAGACAGAACAGACATCGAATACAAACTTGTGGTTGCCAAGGAGGCGGGGGGGTGGGAAGGGCCAGACTGGGATTTCAAAATGTAGAAAAGATAAACAAGATTGTACTGTGTAGCACAGGGAAATATATACAAGATCTTGTGGTAGCTCACAGCGAAAAAAATGTGACAGTGAATATACGTATGTTTACGTATAACTGAAAAATTGTGCTCTACACTGGAATTTGACACAACATTGTAAAATGACTATAACTCAATAAAAAAAAAAGCCAATGTACTAGTGCTGAACATGAATTTTCAAAATGATTAATTTAATATGAGAGTCTGTGTCCTCCACTAAACAGCGTCCCCACAAAATTCATGTCTGCCTGTGACCTACGAATGTGACCTTAGTTGGAAATAGGGGCTTTGCAGATGTAATCAAATTAAGATAAAGCCATGCTGGATTAGAATGGACCCTAATCCAATGACTGGTGTCCTCAGAAGAAGAGGGGAAGCTGGCACAGATAGACATCTGACTATGGAGGCGGAGACTGGAAGGGTGCATCTCCAGGGCAAGGAAGGCCAGAGCCAGCAGAGGCGCTCCGGAGGCGAGGGAGGGGCAAGGAAGTATCCTCCCCCCGAGCCTTCAGACAGCACGGCCCTGCCAACACCATGATTTGGACGTCTAGCCTCCAGAACTGTGACAATAAATTTCTGCCGCTTTAAGCCATTCAAGTTCATGGTAGTTTGTTATAGCAGCCTTTGAAAACTCTTACTAATAATAAATAACTGACACGGTACCATGATACAGCAGAACTATAAATGCTTGCTCAGCTAACATCCAGCATGATGACGTAAAGGAAATGCTGACCCAGACGGCAGGTCGTGGCCTGGCTCTGCCACCCGCCAGCTCAGAAGCCCTGGGCAAGGCCAAGCTCCTTAGCCCTCAGTCTTCTTACCCATAAAATAAGAGAGTTGCAAATAGGTTTTCTTTCAGTTTTAACTGTACAAAATTTTAACAGACACAGTAAAGAGCCAAAGAGACAGAATATAGAGATAAATAAGTAAGAATTAAAGAAGTAACCACTGCATAGTAGCTACTGCATCAGAGCGAGAGGAAGAAAGAGAGAAATACACACACAGACACAGAATTAGTTTGCTGGGGCTGCTGTTAAAAGCATCACAAACTACGTGTCTTAAGCGAGAGAAATGTATTGTAGCCCAGCTCTGGAGGCTAGCAGTGGGAAATCAAGGCACTGGCAAGGGTGCTTCCTTCCGGGGGCTGTGAGGGGAGCAGCTGCCCCAGGCCTCTGTCCGTGGCTTACAGATGGCCTTTTTCATGTTCACGTGACATTCTTCCAGTGTGTGTTTCTACGTCCGAATTCTCCTTTTTATAAGGACACCAGTCACACTGGAACAGGGCCCACCCCAATGACCTCATTTTAACTTGATCATCTCTATAAAGATGCAAAGATGAGGTTCATGTCAGAAGGAAAAAAAGTTCAGTTTTCCTGCTCTACATCAGTCAACAACATCCCACAGAATTACCAACCGAGACACTTGGCCCACTGCCATCTGCTTTTAAGCTGTTGGGTGGCCTGGCAGGAACAATTCTAAAGAAGCACTGTCACACTTGAGGGCGGCCACTGTGCACCTGTCCTGAGATCCTCTTTAAAAAGCTTAATTAATTCAACCAGTGACTTTTACCTGCTTGGGGGTTATCAAATCATTAATGCTCTGTGCTTTACATTTTTCCAAACCAAAGTCTTTCCAAGTGACTACTGTAGTGTTTTCATTTAGAAGATACTGTTGCAATTAAAGTAAAATTTGCAGTAAGCTTTATTTAGCCAGTTGTTGATGGACAAGAAAATAATATAGCAGATGAACTGCCCCCATGTTTTCAAGAATTAAGAGGCACAAAGCTACAAATTCTTGTAAGAGGTTTTCAAATTATGAGGGGCTCTCCTCAAGAGACGATATATGCAAAATCAGTTTCATAAGCTCAGGAGCAGTTTTTTTTCTTTTTATGTATGAAATGCAACCAGCTCCACTCCATTATTACTCAATTCACAGCACTCAAAAAGTTCACTGGGAAGTACGTACCTTTGGGACAAGGGACTCTTCCCTGAAGAAACCCAGTTATACCTAGTAACAGACACTATCTGAGCTAGGCTCCGGCTAGGTCCCGCACATACTCTGCCAGATTTAATTCTCACAATTATTTGACAAGCTAAGTATTAAAGGCCCACAATCTTTTACCCCAAACTCCGAGGCCAGAACTGTTTCCGTTTTCAGCACTTTTTAACTTTAGAAAACAATACAGTACATACAGCATATATTATGGAAAACCTCCAGTGGGGTGTGAGGCAGACTCGGTTACCAAACAGATGAATATTTCTACACCTAAGCATATTAACTTTCCCATCAAGGCAGATGAACGAAGGACTCATGTTGATTCAGGCAAGATTCTGCTGCTGAATGAGTTCAGGTTAGGCTAGTTTTTACCAAAAAAAAAACGGCTCTCTGAACTTTGAAAATTTTCTAATTGTGGCTGAGGGTATGTGGAGCTGTATTATTCTCATGTTCTAGAGGAGAAACAGGTTGACTAGAGTCAAGTAACTCACCCAAGGACATGCAGCCAGAAGGTGGGATTAAATCCAGGTCCCCCTGGCTGTAAGCCCCTGCTCTGCGCCACACCCTTCTGCCTCACAAGGGTTATTTCATCCCATAATGCAGCTACCCCACAGAAACGACAGCACAGCACGCACGTGACCCCTGAGGAAATGGCATTTCTAGGAGAAACATCTGCTCATGGTTTCGACCCCGGCTACTTCCCATCTTGTTCCCGTCTTCCCACATCCAGGAAAGACCTGGCCCAGCCCTCGAATCAACGGGAAGAGAACTCCACCAGCTCTGAGGCTCAGAGAAGAGCAAGACAGGGTGGGTGCCTGAGGACATGAAAGGACAGGTGGAAGGTCAGGCTCTGAAGCCAGGAGGGGGGAGCAGGGCTTTGAAGGAATCGTGAGAAGTGGGAGTGGGGGGCCGGAGGCAGGACTATCTGAGAGCAAGGAGTGGGGCTAAAGGTTCAGACAAGGAAGGGGGGGCCTGGAGGGAAGTGAGAAACCGCCACAGGCAGGGGTCGGTTTGTCGTTCTTTTCTCATCACAACTGAAACACAGAACTAGGAAGGGGAGCAATGAAGCACCAGGGCTTTCCGAGCTCTTTCCGCCCCTTCCCTCCAGCCAACCTGCCTCGCATCCTTGCTACCAGCAGCAGCACTGGGGAGGGCCTGAGCACGACAGAGCCCCTGCTCTGTGCTGCGCTTCGTGGCAGCACTTCACCGTGACCTCACTCAGCCCTAACACTTAACAGAGGCACAGATGGGCAACAGACTCAGGAAGGGGAAAGAGCCCAAGGTCACGGAGCCAGAAAGTAGTGAGGTGGGAGTTAAACCCAGTTCTGAACTGCCCAAAGCCCATGCTCTTTTCAAGGACCAGAAATGGGCAGGTGGGTACGAGGCCGGAATGGTGCGGGCTGGGAACAATGCATCAAGAAATCCAGGGGCTGTGAGTCAGCATCCATAACAGGCATCTTGCTGACAAAGGACATGGGGAAATTGGAAGGAAGAAAATTTTCTATCAGACCTGAGAAATTTCTGCAGCAGCTGGGAGGTGAGAAACAGATATAACCCAGAAAGCAATGAGTTAGAGACAGTCGGTTAAGATAGTCTAGGTCAACTAAAACATAGATGAGCCATACAAATAAAAAGCAACTCATCAAATACACTTACTTCCCAAAGTTCATAGAGCTCCTTTCTGAGATCCTCTGGGAGGAGCTGGGTTAGCTGCTTCATAGCTTCCTGAAACATCAAATCATTATTATAATCATGGTTACATTTATCTAAGTGAACTATTCTACAAAAGCTCAAACTCTCACAAATAACTCCCTAAAGGCCTTACATAAATAGGAGGGCAGTTGTGTACATTAAGTAAGTGTATTTATTCATATGTTTTTATTCACGAGCACTTATTTTGTGACCTGTAGCATACCAGACACAGAAAAAGGACAATGAGGAGGGTGTGAGACGATTATAGAAATATCAGAAGTAAGGCCAAAGATTTACATCTTGTGGGATGCCCTGGGGAATTTCAATCATCAGCATACTTGAGTTCAAACGAAACCTGAAGGTGGGCAGAAAAGGAAACTAACTCTGTATTACAAAGCTCAAAGAAATTTTTTGTATACTATAATATTCATTTTCTATTATTAATGTTTCTATTGCAATATGTAAAGCACTACACAAATGGGCAGTTATTGTCCTTAACACAAAGGAAATCACTAGACAGCATTTTGTAGGCTCGCAGACTCACAGGCTGAAAAGAGATATTAAAGGGTGATGAGCCAAACCATCCATGTGGTATCTGAACCCTTCAGCAGCATCACTGGGTACTTCTTGAACCCTCTCCACAAGCATGTCCAGTAGAGGGAACCCAGCACCTCAAGAGGCTGCCCAGATGGGCTTCAGGCAGCACTGACAGAAGCACTTCTTACAGCAAGCTGAAAATCGGCTCTGTAGGTCTCGCACCATGCCTGACCCGCCTCCTGCCTTCCTCCCTCACACAAACAGTACATCAAACAGGTGGGCAGTGACCCAGCTGGGCCAGGATCTCTGCGGCCACAGTAACTGGTCCAAAGGATGGCCCTGTAACTCAAACCAGCCACCTAGGGACCATCTGCACGATTTGTCCAGCAGAGGCTAGACATGAGTAGAGTCCGAAAGAGCCAAACCCCAAAGAAAAACAGAGCTGAGAGAATGAGTGTGGAGGGTGTCTGGTACACATTTCTAGTCTCCAAAGTCCCAGGAGCCACTCTCGTTCCTTCATTTCCATGTTGTTCCAACATCCTAAAGTACCATTTTGGGGACATGAGGTCTGCAACCGACTCTCGAATGGCTTCAAATTCCTTTAGCATCCTCACCCTACACCTCTTAATCTGCTCCAGTTCTTCTAACCAGAGCTTACTTTACGTTCCTTGAAAAGACCACAGTTGTAAGAACCACTTCTTGCAAAGTGGTTATGTAAAAGGTCTTACATAAAATCAAATGGTGAGTTGGGGGAAAAGCAACGAAAATAAAAATGAATATTTGTGTATACAAGTATTCATTACTGGGAGAAAAAAAAATGTTCTACAACACAACCACACTCAGAGCGAGGCAATACTGGCCAGTGTCTACGACCTGCTCTTCTAAGTAACGTCACTATCTCGAGTGGCTTATAGCATTCATACCACGTATGAGATTTAAGGCACTTTGTGCCTGCGTTCTCCCTTGTTACTTTTTCATAAATCTCAGCAAAATACTTGAGAAAATAATCTGCATGTTCAAATATTAAAAGCATCTAACAAATCATTTTTCTCTACACTATTCTAGAAACACAAGTTTGCCCACTGCTTTTGTTTGAAAAGAATAAACTGAATAACAAATCTGTACAGATATATCAAAATTCAAACTTCTAGAATACAAACATAAAAGTCCTGCTTTGACAAGGGATAATTTTACTCCCTTTAAGGTGAGGCAACCAGCACTGAATACAGTGATTGACGTGTGGTCTGACCCAGGTGAACACAACAGAACCAAAGCTTCCATCACTCTAAATGCTCTATTTCTGTAAATGCAGACTAAGACTGAACTGGCCTTTTGGAAATTATGTCCAGTTACTGACTTATTAATACGCTTCCTGTTGACTAAAATCACCATATCCTTTAAAAAACGAACATAAACAAACATGTTGTTGCTCTCTTCTTGAAACTGAGCAATGATTTTCTGGATCGAAACTCATTCATATCACTTGTTATTATACAATCAGAATTGCATTTTGAGACCTCATGAAACATTCCTACCTTTTTAAATGCACCCTCTGAAATGGCCCTGGCTGATGCCCAGGATAGAACGCTGAAGATGCCAGATTCCCTTCCTGACACTGAGCCCTGCCTCTCCCATTTCTGAGTTCTGCCTTGTTTCACACACAGATTTAAAGCGATCATTTCCCTAGCTTCTTCCTGACAGCAAAGCATGCCAAGAATTCGCCTAAAGTTCTAAGCTGAATGTGCTTTCAGCAAACGTCTGTCAGTTTTGTGAGAAGCACCCAGAAAGCAGAACTCATCATTCACACATCATGGTGAGGCAGACGGGGTTTGAAACCTAGCTGGCCACTGACTAGCTACGGAACTCAGAACAAGTTACTTCTTTGTCCTTCAGTTTTCTCGCCTGTAAAATAAGGTCAACAGTGGTACCTGCCTGAAAGGATTGCTGTGAGGATTAAACAGTTTATATTTATACATATATTATAATATAAATATTTATTAATTATCTGGCACAGAGTAAGTACTCCATAAAATGCCCACTGTATTTTTCATTTTCTCTACCTCGCCATATTCACTCCCATTATAAAGTGTCGTTCTTCTCCTTTTAACCTCTAGTTCTTTCGCAACTTTACTCTCAGGTACACACATACCACGACTCTGCCTTCTGTCTTGGTAAGTCTTCCCTTTGCAAAGTTATATAACCTGCAATTGCTGTGTTCCAGCCTCAAGCTCCACCCTACTATTCTTGATGATCCCTACCAGGCATCATTTACCAATTCAGGTTAATATAAAGTTTATTTTATCTTGTTTGGGGTGGGGGTCACAACACAAGCATTACTCTTGGACCCCTACATTTTGTCTTCTGTGCCCTCATTCTCCCTTTCATCTTAGTACCCGCTCTCCTCCAAGACAACCAGCCGGCCAGGTTTATCCAGTCTTGTTCAACCCTCCTACTTCAGTGCGAAGCCTTCCTGATGCCGTCGGCCAGCCTCTGGGCAAATGATGCTTCCTGGTTCTCATTATTTGCATTCCACCCCAAGGAGCCAAGAAACCCTCATTCAATTACCTTCAGGCATGGTTCAGACATCCAGATCTTATTCATAAACACCATCTGCATGAAGAATTGTTCACCTCTCACATCTTCCTCTCTGTTCCCAAAACGGATCCAGCAGCAGGAAGAGGCAACGAAGTATCAGCACTCTCCAAGCCCTGGGTTTCTTGCCCAAGAACTTGTGGTTCTTTAAGATGTTTTTCCTGTCCCTTCTGATGATACACTTTCTTCTGTGAATCAGGAGGAGTGGGCAGCAGCCGGCAGGAGGTTTAATGAGGCCGGAGGGGCTTCACCACTGCCAGGCCACGGCGCCCAGGAAGCAGCAGCACCAGCACTCTGATTTCAGGTGCCTCCGTGCCCCTCGAGGGGGCGTCACCAGTCAGGACTCAACTCCTGTCAGGACAGCGGTAGGTTTTCTGTCTCCAGTGGGGGGAGATCCTTCCCAGTGAGTTTTCTCTTCAGAAGGTTCTGACTCATTCCTCTTTGGAGTAAACCTCACAGTCCCTGTGTGCCCACATGGGGACAGCGTGTCTCTTTCTCTGCAGTCACTTTAAGGTCTCTGATCACCCTCTGGTACTTCAGTATGTGATTTTTCTCCTCCACAATGTCTACACTTCCCCCTGAGGGAAGCTATCACACATCCTGAAATGTGCTGTGTAACTGAGGACTCTCCCCCTTCTTTTCCTCTATGTCACATGTCATTACCCAGCATCCTCTGGTTTGGGGCTAGTTCCTTTCTGCTGCTCCGTATCTTGAGCTAACTGGTTTCATTTTGTATTAATTCTGCCAATCAATCTAGGAATTCTTTATTCACAACAGTCTAGACTCCGACAGAGAAACACTTCCTTAGCTTCCTCCGTTTTCACTGGCAGGAAGCTCACATGCTCTGGACCTGTATTTATGGGAAGAACACATTCCTTACACTTTCCTGACACACTTCCACCCCCAACCCTTTTCCCATGGTTGAGGGTGTGCTGAAACTCCTAAATCAGGATTCCTTGTGGATCTTCTTGCCTCTAGAAGGGCAAAAATGCTTTTGGCTACTGAGCTCTAGCCTCCCCCCAGCTCTGAGAACAGCTATTTAAGCCCACTGGCCCTGCTAAACCAACTTGATGCAGGATCTGTTGACTTAGTCATTCAGGACCAACCTCTCTGGCCTACAATAAAAGCAGTTTTCAATGATCCCTGAATTGGGAACCAGCCATCCAGCATTAAAAAAAAGCCTTCCTAGATTTTCCAGCCTCTGCTTCAAAAACGTCTTCGTCTTTGTCCCTGGGCTCTGGGTTTAGAGTCCAAATCAACAGACTTAATGTTTTACTGATGTTATTCACTTCTTACTAATACAGTTTTTTCCCCTTTACTTTTAATCATTAAAAGACTAACTTAAAATTTACTAAATAATAATTTTAATAATGATTATTCTTGCAATTAATAGAACTTCTGTCCAAAGAGCTTAACTGGCTTGGAGAATTCCTTCAAGTTCCAGCTATTTTCATTGTTCTAATGAAAGCCACACTGTCTATGTCCTGGGCTCAGGTCCCCTCTGTGCCCTCCTTGAGAACTGAAACCAATATAATGTCTTGACCCTGCGTTAAACAAGGCTGAGAGCAAGTAAAAACTGATTCACTGCTTAGTCCAGGAAATTCGTTATTTCTGGAAGATAAGATTGTAAACCACCCAAAATAGAGTAAGCTGTTAGGGCAAGACCCTTGTGAAGACCTTGCCTCCCCAGCCCCACCAATACAAAGCTATTACGTCCTAAGCTCTGTGCAATCCCATATGTAAGAGAGCAGCCCCTCTTGTGAGATCCATCCAAACATCCTCCAGCCCAGGCGCTTAAATTCTATACGCTATAAATACTCTCCCCTGACCTTCCTCCATGAGACACCACTAAGACTCTGTTAAGAAGGTACTCTCCTGCAGTAGGAGTCTAATAAACTTAGCTTTGTTTCAGCAGTGAGTTTTTCTGGTGGTCTTTTGTGGAGTCAACAGTCAACACTGACCTCTTCTCGCCTATGTTTCTCTTCTTTGGGAACGTTATCTGCTGGTGCTATGTCCCCAACGATGCACTCTGCCATATCATGAACCAGGGCTAGGCGTACACATCTGACCAGGCAAGAAACGGTGAATAATTACACAGAATTATATTCACTACAGGTTCCTTCTCTATACCATCATGAAGTTATATAATATAGCTTTCTTTGTCCAGCCTTACAGAATGTTTTAACGCAGTATTTTCCAAAGTAATTATATTCTGCCAGCCTGTAACAACTCTGAATCAAAACTGCTAGTTAATATTCAACATAATACACAGAGTGCAGGGGAATTGTTAGCATAAAATTTTTTTTAATAGCTATTTACTCAAATGTCACTTTACAAGGCTGATAACTTTAGATTAAAAAGCCAGAAGGTGATCTGGGTATAGCATTTACTTACTGATACAAAATTCAGGAACAATCATTTCCCCAATGTACTAGTTAGATATCATAATGAGGCCCTTTACAGAGAAATGGGTAGAGCTGGGCAGATCTGAGTTTGAATCCAGCATCAACATCTGTTAGCTGTGAGATCTTTGCCAAGTATTTAATTTCCTGAAATGCTAAGTTTTGCAGCCTTCATTCGATTGTCTGTAAAAAGGGGATAATAATACTTCATAAGTTTGGTATGAAAATTAAATTTGATAAATTACATTCCTGGAATGCATTGCTTATTCAACAAATGACTATAATTATTAGTGATAATGATTAATGATTAGGATAATCATCATCAAACTAACAAAGGCAGGTCACAAGATAAACACCCCAGAGGACCAGTCTGTTTTATGTTCCCACTATTGCGATGGCAGAACAAGGCCTAAGGGCCTCCTCATAGGTGTCCCTGTCTACAGTTGCTCTCTTGTCTAACTCAAATCTCAAACTTCTTAAATTAATCTCCACTCAACACCATGTTCATCTTGTACTACTTGCCAAAAATCTCCTCAGTTCTACAGCATTTACAGAGTATCAGGGCTCATGAGACTCCCCAATGAACCTTTGCTGCAATCAAATTGATCTACTTATCATTTCCAAAACACACCTTTACAGGCCCCCACGAGACCTTTGGCTTCTATGTCCTCCTCTGTGTGTGCTGCATCTTCTGCTTCTCTACCTAATCAACCCTTTAGAGGTCAACTCATATTCTGCCCCCTCCATTAAAATCACCCAAGAACGGGTAATCTGTCCTGTTAGAATAATTTTCTAACATATTTTATTTTATGCTTTGCATAGAAGCCACTTTGGACCTGTGTAATTCATCTGGGTTTTATTTACTATCTTGTACTGTATTGGTAGAAAACTTTGTCATGTGCTCAAAAAGCATTTTAAACACTTGTTGACTGACTGAAGGGAGAGAGAATTTTTTTCTCAGCTCCATCCTGCACATACCACTCCAAAAAGCCACTTTACAAATGAGTGCCACACTATTCAGAAAAGAGGCTAGATAAAAGTACATATGTATAAACACAATCTTAGATATTAAAACTTACCTTCAAGGCCCTGGAAACCCTTATATCACACTTAATGTTTCCTGGAGGCCAAGGCAGGCTCTTTGACTTACCAAGAGAAAACCCAGAGAGCAGTTTACAACAACTGAAGCAATCAGTACACAGTCCGTCTTCCCACATCCTGAATCTGTATGGTCTATCTCAAGTAACTTTTTTTCATGTATAAACTAACCTACAAGAGTTTGACATAGGCCTCAGTCATGAAGAGGCATGCATACCCATAGACCAGAGACCCTAACTGGCACCAAAGCCCACAGCTTACCGGTCTTTGTTAAGATGTTCATCTTTGGTCACCAGGGCCATAACTGCCATCCTGTACATGTGATCTGATACACTCTCTGGCTTCTGGACATTTCTGTACACCCAGCCAGTCCGTGGGACTCTCTGATAAAAATGAAGAGAAAGAAGGTTATAAAAAGTAAGTATTTTAACTACCTACTCGGCTTTTCATGAGAAGTCCAGGGAATAGGGCACAGAAGCAGGGTCATGGTTTCAGTACATATTAAAAAATGCTTAACTAACCTAGATGATCAATATGTGGAACCAAATAAACCAGTGAGGACAGAGAATGAAAAAGAGAGGTGGGGGAGGAATAATTCACAGGTATACAACACCGAAGTCCAAAGGTCAGGTTACTCTGTGGTACTGACGTACTGATGTACACAAAACACATTCAGGTCCTTAGACAAAAAACTAAAATTGCAAAGTATCGAGTTGGTAAATTTTGCTTAAAACAACCCATTAGACGCAAGTATAAGACACTGTGGTGAAAGCTCTGAATCTGAACGAGTGACAGACTTCCAAATTCCGAAGTGGAAGGGATAAGGCAGTGCTGCCGGATGCATGCCACCACCAGGCATGACTCCTGCTTTTACACTCAGGTTATGGTCCCGTGAAGCTGTATTACCTCCTCATAAGTCTACATCTCTAAAGAATGTAATAAACTGCAGTAACAGTGGCATGAAGTAGGTCATCTGTTTTGTACTTGGAGAAATTCTTGCAAAATCACTAACTGAGTGTGGCGAGGGTGGGGAGAAGACCCCCGTGATGTAACGCCAGTGTGTACATTATAAAATCCTCTGTTAAAAATAAAATCACTTGTTATTTCTGTGAGTAATGATGAGACAGATTTCAAGCACTTCACTTACACCCTGCAGGACCAATGGGTTCTGTTCTTCCCACCTGCTGCCCAGAAGTCCACCCCTACCGTCCACCTGTGGGGTCGTGGAGCAGACGCGGGCGAGGGCGGGACAGCCGCACACCACGGCGCCGCATACCCTCCAGGAACGAAGGGCCGCCCGCGGGGAGGGCCGAGTCCGAGC